ATTGACTCAAGACATGGTACGGTGACACCTGTCATCTGTGATTAATTGCCGTGTGAAAATGTGTCACTTGTCACTACTTGGTAATCTGAAGCCTTGAATTATGTTTTTTTCCAAATAAGTTGAGCTAAAATGAAATCAGATTCAACGTTTCCTGCTGTTTTGGATAGTACTGTCCTGTCTGCTTAATCATTGACAGCTAATTAGCCTATAATTTTGTTTTACAAGTAAGAAGACCGGGCTATATTCCTTTTTTTTTCTTTTCTTTTTCTTTTCAATCTTTTATTTTTTGAATGATCATGTGATAAGTATATTTTTCCTGTAAGAATGTTGAGGAAACACCACTGGTCTCCATCTTATCTAAAGAAGACTTCAATAAAAAAGGAAACTGCCATTATTTATCATTTCTCACTGGTTGGCTTGCCTGAAGAATTTTGGTTGGCCAGTCCACAAGTCCTTACCTCCAATCACTGATGTAGTGGTGTAGCTGAGTGCCAAGGGATAAAGAATACCAGGGGTTAGTTCCTTTTTAGTTTACACTCCCATTTTTCATAGTAATGATAAGTGTAATTACATTCTCTCTCTCTCTCTCTCTCTCTCTCTCTCTCTCTCTCTCTCTCTCTCTCTCTCTCTCTCTCTCTCTCTCTCTCTCTCTCTCTCTCTCACACACACACACACACACACACACACACACACACACACACACACACACACACACACACACACACACACACACACACACACATATATATATATATATATATTTATATATATATATTGAGGGTAGGTAGTTTTTATTATCTTTTTCTGGCTTCGGGTAACAGAATTGTTGATTTTTTTTCACTTTTATTAAAGTATTACTCCTTCATCTCTGTGGAAAAGACATTTTAGGTTGTAACTTTTTTGGGGGGGAAAATGTACTTCAGAAGAATATCTTATCCCTTTTGAAGATGGTAAATTATTTTTAAGAATAATTTTTTAAAATTAGTTTTTGACAATTTATTTTGATTATGAAAGGCCTAGACATTACAGTTGGTACACTTGAGATATTTAAAGTATATAGCAGTAAGATAGGTCGTGGAGTAGTAAGTACAGTGTTTCCGTTATTAAACCAGTGCCGATAAGTTTCCTAAACCAAAAAATCGACAAAAGTAAAGGCATGCTACCTACAAGCAGCTTTTCATTGTTATGATGATGATGATAGAAAAATCATATTGTTATGATTAATATTGTTATAAATATCATTAGTATATCATTGTCGTCATTTTTCATGATTGTTATCGTTATTGGCATCATTTACGATATTGCTACTGTTATTATTTTTAATCATTGATAGTTATTATTAATATGATTTTTATTATTATTGTTATTGATTTTTGTTTTGTTATTATTATTATAATTATTATTTTATTTTATTGTTAGTTATTGTTATTGTTGTTGCTATTGTCATCATCATCATCATCATCATCATCATCATCATCATCATCATCATATCATCATCATCATCATCACATCATCATCATCATCATCATCATCATCATCATCATCATCATCATCATCATCAATCATCATCATCATCTTCAATCATCATCATCTTCAATCATCATCATCATCATTATCAATCATCATCATCATCTTCATCATCATCATCATCATCATCATCATTCAATCATCATCATTATCAATCATCATCATTATCAAGTCATCATCATCATCATCATCATTATCAAGTCATCATCATCATCATCATCATCATTGTTATGTTTATTATTGTAATCTTATTATTATTGTTATTATTATTATTAATATTGTTATTGTTATTATTGGTGTTTTTGTTATTTCTTTATAATTATTGTTATTATTATTATTGTTGTTTATTATTTTCTGTTGTAATTATTGTTATTATTAATATTACTATTCCTTTTCCTTTTACTAATACTATTATTTGTACTAGTGTTATTTTTCATTTTATTTTTATGACTATTGTTATTATTATTATTAATGGTATTACTACTAATCCTAATACGAATATTGATATTGTTATTATAACATCCAACCTTTGAAGATGCACCAACCTATGTGGCAGTTATTTCCCTACTCGATGTCCTATGGCATTTATGAACATGCCACGCCCCCAGTGAGAGTAGGTTGTTAATTATCTTTACACTTAAATGGCCCGAAAGTACTTTGGTCATTGATCAGACAGTAACTATGACTTCCCATCTCTTCTTTACCCTTTTTGTAGGTTTTTGGAAGTATTTTCTTTTCTTTGCGATGATTTTGATGTCTGTGATGACGATAACTACAATATTGAGAGCATTAGTAGGAAAGGTATTTTTCGGAAACCTCAAGAGAAGTTGAAATCAAGTGAGGTTACGAGCTTTGCTAATTGGCCCCTTGGTTGCTCCGTGCTTGGAGCCATCTCTGTGTGGAGACATTTCACGAACTTGACAAATGCTGCCTTCAAGGAATCACGTGTTGGTTTGTAACAGATCCCTCCCGAGAAGCTTTTTCTCGAAATCTGAACTTTCAAATACTTAATCTAAAAATATTCAGTTATCCACACATGTAAATTTATTCATGTATATTTCAATTTATATTTTTCCTGATTTTTTTCTTTTTTTCCCCCTAGAATATGGTTTGTGAAAGCAAGTTTTAAAAGCTAGATTATGAGGTGGATGCTTAAAAAAGAGTATCTTTTTTTCTGAAAGAGTCTATTAACATTGAGCAAAGCCTTTTGTTAAACAATTTTTGTTGCAAAG